GACATATGTTGAAGCTGTTGTATCATTAGTTGAAGTTTATAATCAATTAAAACAATAAAATAAAAGTGTTGAATTGTAAGTTTCCCGTGACTATTCTTTCATGAATATAATATAACATAACATCATGTTTAGATTGAAAGAACATCTGCAAACAAATAATGATCCACGTTTGAAACAACTTCTTGTGGAAAATTTAATGAAAAGTGGACACAGTGAAGAAGTTTTACAACAAGTTGTCAAATCATTTCAGTATGTAGGCTTATATTTTGCAGTCGATATTAGAAAGATCTAATTATCTTCGTTTTCAGGGGATCCGATTTGAGTAGTCCAACATTAAAAGCTCATATAGAACGCATTGAAAAAGAAATGAGTGAAGATACGAACGGCATGGATAACGGATTCGATAGTTCAAGATTTGATGGTATTAATATGGATGAAATGGATCAAATGCGTGACGATGTAATGAATTATACATTTTCAGATGATGATATTTAATATCAGTTTATGTAACACTTGACAGCTTCATGCATTTTATTCTATTCGAACGCATGTAAACATCTCAATGTTGCTATAGTGTGCTGTCATCGATGTTTTTTTTTATAGGAGTAGCAATGTACATATTTGTGTTTTTTCTCTTCTATTTTAAGTAATATATGAACTAAACAAATAAAGTTAGCTGTATAGATCGATCTCATCTAGAATTGCTAGTCTATCTGTCAACGCCCAACGCTAATACTGAAGGCAGTATCATCATACAGTCTCTGGCATCCATTTGAACCAAAAAGGAACTGTTTCTAGCCATCTGATACTCATGCTTTGACCATTAGCGTAAACACTCTTCAGCTGGTTCATTTGTCATCGCTATCTCAGAGCGAACAGACCATCTCAAGATCATGTTTCATCTATTCGAAACATATCGTGTGATCCAGAATAAATGGCCCTTCTTGTACTTTTGTTATAATTTTTTTCTTTTCAAATCGTAGACCTGATTGTTTTTCCAAAAGATGCGCTGTCAAATTCTCTGTAAGATTTGATCAAACTTATTTCTATAGATAGTTAAGAAAATTAAACGAAGAATACTCAACATGATGAAACGGACCAACTTTCTAAGCCGAAAAAAACGTTTTGTTCAACCACTTTCATTGAGCTGGATGATAAAAAGAAGAGAATATACGCATTTTATAGTCCTTGGAAAGCTTTATCAACTAGTATTAGGTGCACAAATGCAAAATCAATCTTTGAGACTTACATCGATTTTCTCCTCTATGACGCTTTGCAAAATCCAGCTATTTGAATGTGTAGAATACTGAGAGCTAGATATGATATTTGTAAACTATTTTTGTGCTCATTGTAATTAAATATATAGTTCATTTAATTACAAATGGCATATCAAGTAGCGGCTGTTGTTCTTAGCTTTTTTACTGAAATTATTACCCTTAGTGGAGGAATATGAATGCATAGATTCGGAGTTCCTAGAAAATGCTGCATAACGAAGCCAAAATAGCACTTTTTCCTCTTGGTCTTGTTTTATTTTGATGAGAAATGACACCTGTACCAGATTCAGCGGCGAAAGCTACCTTAAGGACCCCTCAAAAAAAGCATTTTTCAACAAAAAACTCGATTTGGACATTTATGCATAGTTGTATAGCCCAATATATCTGCTTTCGAATGCACTATGATTTATTGGTTCTACGATGATTTTTGAGGGTTT